TAACATCTGTGCTATGTAAAGAAATGATACAAATCCTAAGAAGAGCCTCAAGATGGAAGGGGTGTTAAAGAACAAAAACTCATCTGGGTAAATGTAAAGATCAAATTGGCTTTATTCAATAATTCATGAATCGGCCAGTATCCCATCTAGCAAATAGAAAGGAGCTCCCTCAAGCTGCAGAGAAGGAAAGGTTTTAAAGGGCAGAGAGGGAGAGGAAAAAAGGAAATTATTAGCAAAGAATGCATTTTAGGCCAGGATGCTCTCCTAGGGGTAATGGAAGGGGTCCATCAGTGGATTACCTTCTGGTGCTGACCAGGAAGTTCTGTTGGCTGCTTAAAGGTCACTTTTCTGAGAGGTGAAGGTGCAGTTAGGGTAGGTATTAAGTCTTGGTGGGGTGTAGCATAAGTGATTCCATTTGGGGCCATTTGTCTCCTTTTTAACAATTTCTACCTCTTGATCAGACTCTCAGCTTAACTGAGAGGTGTGATCAAAGTATAAGGCTCTAACACCGCTCTCAGCTCTGTAGTTCTTGGAGCTTTACATGAAATTTTGTTGATCCTTTGTGTGGTATCCAGAGGTCACCTTGTATTTCGATTTGTTTTGTTTTTTTGTTTTTGCTTTTTTTTTTAGATTATTTATTTATTTGACAGAGAGCACAAGCAGGGGGAGTGGCAGAGGGATAGGGAGAAGCAGGCTCCCCGTGGAGCGGGGAGCCCAATGACATGGGCCTTGATCCCAGGACCCTGGGATCATGACCTGAGCCGAAGGCAGACGCTTAACGACTGAGCCACCCAGGTGCCCTAAGACGTCATACTCTAAACATGAAACTCTTTCTTCCTTCTTTTCTGTCCTTTACTCTGGCACTGGCCTGGAAAGATAACACCATCATCTGTATCTCCCAGGCCACTGCTAAGGTGGGTAACTTTTGGAATTTAGAACAACTTTTTATTTTAGGCTAAGAGGAAACCTAGCTGACCCTTTGGCTTGAACAGCAAATACAAACAATCCCTGTGAATGAATCCATTAACCGTGCCACCACAGCAGGGAGTAATTTGTGCCCCAAACGAGTTTGTCTTTGTCTGTGGTGGTTATCATTATGAATGCTTCTTAGTCTGTCTAACTGTGGGCCCCTCCTTAACTCTTAAAGATACTGCAAAATCCGGGACGCCTGGGTGGCTCAGATGGTTAAGCGTCTGCCTTCGGCTCAGGTCATGATCCCAGGGTCCTGGGAT